TAGGCTGCTAATTCATGACTGTCTGGATGGAAAGAATCGCTTGGGATGTTGATGTCTGTATAGCTAGGTTTTCTGAAAACATTGTACTCAAATTTATTCTGATTGTGTGTAATGGTCAGGTTTAAGAAATTTCTCTGTTTCTCTATCTCTGTTTCGAGTGTGAACTGAATGTTGCTATTGAGATTGTTCATGAATGTCATAAATTGGTTCAGCTGTCGTGTAGTACCTCTGTAACGGGCGAGAATATCGTCTACATATCTGTACCAAAAATGAATATGTTTTCAACCCAGGTCGGAATTTACTATAGTGGTCTCCAAGTTGTTCATAAATATGTCTGCTAAAAGTGGACTAAGGGGTGAGCCCACTGGTAAACCTGAATCTTGTTGAACTGAAATTGTTGAACTGTAGGTAGCTCTGATTTAGGCACACATCGAAAGCTGTTGAAACTTCAAAGGAAGTGATATGGTCTACTTTGGCTTGATCTAATATATCTAAAATGAGGGGCTTACACTCGTTGTAGGGTATGTTGGAGAACATACTCTTTACATCGAATGGAACTAAAATTGAATTATGTGGCGTGGTTTGGTTCCTTATGTTTCCTACTAAAGTCAGTGAATTTTTAATACAATGAGGTGGGACGAAATTGGTAATATTTTTGAACTTGTTAAGACATGTAGGTGTACATACATATATAAGGGAATACATATTACAATCTGTTGTAGATTCAAACCACTCTCTTGTTTGACTTTTTCATAAGAATAAAAAGTTAGTATTTCACAAGTAGTTATAATCTCGAAAACATAGAACGCTGGATAGAAACCAAGAAAATACACCAACAATCTATTTTCCTGTTATCAGTGGTTTTCAACAACAATTGTCAGGAAAATTTAGAATGAAACAAAAATATTCTACCATTTTTTAATATAAGATAAAAACATGAAAACAAAAGGCTTCGTTCATAAGGCTACTAATATATTTAAAAATTAAATTATCACAATATATCTTACTAGAGTTGTTTACCCACCTTCTTGGGGATTCTCACCTTTTACAATCGGAAAAATAAAAATTGCAATGCAGAACTTTATACAGTTTCCCATTACAATTTTTATTTTTTCCTCAAAAAAGTTGATAAAAAACGCTGGAACTCTCAAAAAATTACTTTGTTCAATATAAGTTACTAATTATATGACCAAAATAAACTGGTTAATTGTGACATGCAAGTTTATCTCAATTTTGAAACAATATTTCATCAAGTTATAACAAAATATCAATTCTATGATAGATTTGACATGTGAAAATAATAAAATTTGATAATATGGGCAAAAGTAGAACAGTTAAACCTAATACTTCTTACTGAGAAATTAAACATAATATGTTCAGAAACCAGTCTATTGTGGAAACATTTTTGTAAAAAGTAACTTACGCTCTTCATATAATTGACTAGAACAAGGAAATACTTTTGATCCACACAGAACATTGATGTTGAATAAAAAACTTGGCACTTCTCTAATAAAAATATGTTACAACAAGAAATGTTTTATAGCTTTAATGTTGTGAATGCAGTCCGACATAAAACTCAATTCATCTTCTCAATTTCTGATATAACAACCAAAATTCCTAATATTCAAAATGCAAAGTTGAATATATATTCAATAGAGAATTTCGGATTGTACACAGAATAATCATAAGCGTATTTAGTCAATGAATATTTTTAATAAAAAAATAAGAACATAAAAATAGCAGCCAATTTTTATAAATAGAATGTTTAATGACTGAGAACTTGTTTATCTGTAGAAAAATAAAAAAAATTAAAATATACGAGGTTAGGTTACGTTAGGTCCAGAGTGAGTGGGTCTATTTGACCCTCCACAAGGGTTTATTGTGGCTCACACCTATTCAAACTTGACCAAATACAGCCAGCTTCTTAACGAAGCCGATTAGTTTGTATGGTGAGTGGTCTTTCAGGTCAGATGGTAAGAGTATGGCTCTGCCGAACTCTAAAAACCTGATTCGGTCTCCAGCGGGGCAGGCATGAAGTATGTGCTCTGCTGTTTCATCATTTTCCAAACAGAGGCGACACACACTGTCTTCCGACAGTCCGAGTCTCTTCATATGATGATTCAAATGACAGTGACCTATAAGAAAGCATGTAAGACATCGTAGTTCATCCCTACTGTAGTTCAACAACTGTTTGGTATCAAGCTTCGAAGGGTGAATAAACGCCTTGGAGTGAGCCAATCCTGGAAGATTCTACCAGAAGTCTATAAATCTTTTTGCCATCCAGGTGTTCAATCTTTGTTTGGCAAAGCCTAAAGCGATGCATCGACAGGTCCTGGTCCGATGAAGCTGCTTGTAGGACCCTCCTTTGCAAGAGAGACAGCAGCTTCATTGCCTTCTAGGTCAGTATGGCCAGAAATCCAAACCAGAGACAATGTGTTGAGTCTTCCTATCGAGGAGAGTCATTTTTGGCAATTTGCTACCAATTTACACCTTGCTCAGTAGGAGCCAAGAGCTTTCAACGCTGCTTGTTGACTGTCCGAGAATATTTTTATTGATTTTTATCGACCTTTTTTTGGGTAATGGTTACCTTCCACAATCTTTTACGTTTCGGAGGCCAAAATCTGCCTCCGTCTTCAGAAATGGATGAAAAATTCGAATACATTCGCAGTTATTCCTTTTTTTGATAGCTTATTTCTTTACTTCTTTGACAGATGTCAAAAAAATAAAAAACTGATTTTTTCCTCCACAAAAAATGACTTTCGTTGAATATTTTTATTGACTTGTGTATGAGGTTGGATTTTTTCAATCTCTCTGCACACAATTCAATAGCGTAAATTTCTGCTTGAAATACAGTGGTACTAACTCATTCAAGAGAACATGATGCTAATTTGTTTCATTATGGTCCATCACAAACATTATAAAACCTCCTTGCACCAAATTCTTGAGCGGCGTACGTAGAATCTGTCTCAGGTGGGGAACAAACCCCCCACGAGCAGGTTAGCAAACGTTTGCGCTCAAGTGATGATTCACCAAAACCAGAGGCGAAAAAGCCCTGCATGGCTGAATCTAAGGCATCGTCTGGTGTAGCTGACGTGCAAAAACCCTCATATGGGAAGGTTGTCGTGGGTATCAAGGTGGGAATCTTGCAACCCGACTACCTCATTAATAGAGCATATACTTGGCCTGCCCTGCTGGGGCCGAATCAGGTCTTTAGAGTTCGGCAGAGCCGTGCTCTTACCATCTGACCTGAAAGACCACTCACCATACAAACTAATCGGCTTCATTAAGAAGCTGGGTTTATTTGGTCGAGTGTGAATAGGTGTGAGCCACAATAAACACCTGAGGGTTGCGGTAGAGGGTCGAATAGACCCACTCACTTTGGACCTAACCTAACCTAGATATTAAAATAGCTAAGTTGATAATTGCAGTGATATACCGTTCTCACAGTGAAAATAAAAACAGATTTCTACATTATCTGGATTCTTGGTAAACAAAATATTGAGTGTCATAAGTTTGGAGATATGAACATAAACTTACTCAGCAATAGTTCTGAACCAAAAAAAAATGTAGATATCTACTGATCAAATAATTTCATTATATATAATGATAAAATTGCTTTGAGAGTAGTTGAAAGAAGCAGTACATTAATCGACCATATGATGATCACTTGGTGATAAAAACACGTATCGTGGTGTTAGAATAACGGTTTGGTGTTGGGATTAAACTCCAATAATATTCAGTACTACACCAAAGGTTTCAAATAGTGCATCACAAGTTCTTGGAAATAAATGAATATAAAAAATATAAAGAAATTATATGAAATATCAGACTGCAGACAATCGTTACTGAACTGTTGTGAAAAAAGAATATCTGTGTGATTATTCCCTTGAAAATACTACTATATTGTCGATGAAATAAATTTCATCGAGTTAGTGCTCTCCACAACCTTTGATATGTGCAACTAAAATACAGAATAAAATCTAATACTTGTTGCTATTTATGACAAAATTAATTACTACTCATCAATTATCGATTTCCTAAGTACTTCTTTCACAATAAATTCATTTTATATTGTATGAATAACTACAATAATACAAAGATAAGGATGTCTATCATAGGAATCTTTGAAACCATAAAACATATGAAAATGAATAAATTAGAGAAAAATTGCACAATTCAAGGGTTATTTGCTGTTGCGAGAACCAAAAAATTCCGTACTTTTCTAATTCTATTTGAAAAAAATATGACAAAGATTAAGTAAGGCGATAACATACCCCTTTATAAAGACGTCATCTATACGATCGACTCAATAATCGAATATCAAAGACAAACAAAGCTTCCCAATGCAATTGTGGTTCAGCCTAGCATCACTGATGAAACCTATGACGGGTCGAAACAGCACTGTCTGGTGTTCAATCTTAAATGAGTTATGTTTGGGCTTTGGTTTTCAGCTAGTTGCCTTGCAGTGACATACAGACGATAAATCTCGTCGGCGATCGATGTCGAAGCTTAGACGTGTAACTGACCGCCTTGGGGAGCCTTGTATATCTTTAGTATTCGATGATTGAGTACTCTATAGATCCCGCAGATGGCATCTTTGTATGGGGAGATGTCATCGCCCTTACTCATTCAGGTTCTTATAGTGTTTGAGGGACTGGGACTGGACAAATACTGCTGTACCTCTGTGTTCAAGCTGAGAAATGCTGAAGCTAGAGACAAGTTCATAACCCGTTTTCCCAGAGTTTTCTAATTTTTCCTCATATGGTTTCCAAGATCTTTATAATAGACATCCTTAAATTGGACACACTGTACACAAGAATAATACATATCAGAGATTTCCATAACTATATTGAACTTGCTAAAGTTTTTTATATTGTACCATATGGTTTTCGACTATACCGAATGGAAAATTCGAGAGGAAAATAAATCACTACCATAAAGAACACAAAGAAAAATTTCTAAATAAATTTCAATAACGTACACAGTGTACTTTTCTCGTGAAAAATATCAAAAAGAGAAAATATAAATTTTGAAATGCTTTAGGAAACTCTATTTATATCAGTGGGTATACTGTCAAAAACCAGCATCCACAACTTGACGTTTTCAGATGTCAAAATATTTTACAACTTATAGCCCACCCTTCAACAAATGTTATCATCCCTGCCTTGAAGAAGCAGACAGAATTTGAAAAACAACATGAAAATAAATGAATGACTGAATGAAATCAGATTTAAGCCACTACTTTTATGCTATTTCAACATATTCCAAAAATGTTTGTCAAAAAGGAACTTGTTTTTTTTGAGGACAATAAACGTATTTATCTTTCTGCACCATTTGGAAATCTTGGCCAGACAACTGCAGAACGCTGTTATTCTTGGGGCACGTGATTCTTTCAAGCAAAGATCACTTTTGCCATGGATGGTCATTCATTATTGATAGCAGCATATTTTCTGTAATATGGGGGTTCCAGGGAATGGGCAAACCAGTACGACCTTTTTGTATTTGAAATAATAATGCTTTGTTGTCCAAAGTTATCCTTACTGACAAAGAGAATTTTGCACTAGAGTAGTCAAATACATAACTCTACAATATACATAAACAAATTATATTTAACAAATTTATCATTCAAAATGTTTTCACATCTTCTCAAAAATTGTAATTACTATATGAGAACGTATTTTGGAGTAGGCAATTCTCAAGGCTTACTTGGGATTGAAAATTTAATTTGCTCATCTGTGATTGGCCAGAGGTGTCAGTATGGATCATTTTGGCTACTTATTCAACAATAAACCGTAAAATAGTTGATGCTTCTTTTGTAGAAAAATACTCTTATTGTCTTTATAAAACAAGCATACTTTTTCTGTGAGAACCTTATAGGACATCTCAATTTCAGTCTTGAGTAAAAATAAAAGACAAAGTAAAAGTTTATTCTGTGAACCAAGCGTGAATGTCTAATTTGTAAATATTGTATTACTTCAAACAAGATTAAATATATTTCTGATAATAGCAAAAATTGGGTTTATACAGAGCACCACAATATTTCACTGTGGGTTATTCAAATACGCTTAGGCCTGCCACATACAGCCCAAATTAATATTATCATACAACATTAAACTAAGAAAGTACATTAGTGACAAACTGATGACAAAATTATTCACCAACCACTTTCTTAGCTTCTTGTTAATGTTAATGAAAATTTGGGCTGCTTGTTGTAATCATACTCATCCGAACTTGGATAATCTCTCATATAACACTTTTGGTTACCAACTTGCGTGTCAGGTACAATTGTTCTGTTTCAGGTGTTCAGAAGGTTCGTTTTTTATGAGTACTTCGTGGTTCCGAAATTCGACATTATTAAATATAATCATTTGTCAAATCAAAATTGTGGACCTTCCTTGAGACGTTTCGTTCCCACACGAAACAGTTTTAAAAAGGAGATCAGCCATTTTTTTGTATCTGAAAAATTCTATTGATTTTTCCTTCTTTATTTGGATCTGTAACACTTCAACCCACTTAACGAAAATAATCCTGAATTATTTTAAATAATACTTTCAATTTCAACATGAACAGGTACTTAAACAGGTATCACTGTGAATGTTCGCTGAGAAACTTTAAAGTGAATAGATTCTTTTTTCTAAGGATTGCCAACAAATATTAGATATTTTTGGAATCCGCTGCAAAGATATTGCAAATTTTGAAGGGTTGACCACCTAAAATATTGGGAAGTTCTCACCGGATAAATTTGCTTTCTTGAACCGAATAATTTATACAATTTTTTCTTGGGAGTGCTGGAGACTAGAGCAGTAATGTAGCATCAGGACAGATAAACCGTGAACTTTAGCATCAGCTTGACCCATGAGAAATGCCAACTTTGCTTTTTCAACTTCAGATTCTTCTACGCTTATTTGTTTCGATAATTCCATGTGTTCTGCAGTAACAGAATCTAGGCTTTTCTTCAGTTCTCCCATCTAAAGAGAATTAAATACAAAAATAGCATTAAACTAATTGAAAACATGGAGTTTATTTAGTATGTAACTTCCAAACATACGACACTATGTTTGTATAAAGAAGTAAACACATCTTGATAAATAAGGCATCCAACCAAGCACCTGCATGTTTTGACGACACTGCTTTTATACGTGCCTTATCTATAGGAGATTTAGCCAAGTCTAACAAATTATTTAAGGCATTTCTTATAAGAGGACTATCCCAGGTTTGTTGAAGATTTTTTCTGGTTCTTGGTACTTCTAGATTAGTTCGTGAGATCCATATTTGTTCGGCCTCGCTCAAATTGTTATTGAATGGAAAGGAGGGTGGTGAAATTGAATCTATATTGGTGGAATATATTTTTTGAAATAATAAAATCAAGAATAAGTAGGTTAAGTAGGTTAAAGAAAAACAAAATTATCTAAATTAGTGTTAGAATCTCTAGTGAAGAGAGCAGTGTAAACAAAGAGGAATATTGACAAAAATTAGTAGTTTACTGCTGAAATTTAAATCACGTGAATGTCTGGAAATAAAAATTTAATGTAGAATCAGATTCAGATGTATTTCATCAGTTCGGACTTTGTCCGACATTGTTCAATATAATATAAATTGATTTGAAATTCCTGAAAAAATGTTGAAGGGATTGATCGAAAATAACAATTTTATTTGAACAAAAAAACTGAAATTACAAAGAAATAACATAAAACTAAACAACAACCAAAAAAATACTTGAGTTATGTCTTTAAAAGGTACCCATTTTTTAGTTTGTACAACTCGTAAGCTTTTGAGGATTTAACACAGTATTCAGTTTATTGGAGGTGAAATTGTTTTTCAAAATAAATAATGTTACAATTACTTCAAACTACTTGAGTAGTCTTCCGTTTTTACTATCATTGAGGTTGTTTTCGAAATGTAGGTATTGACAGCTTAGTTATGAAGGATTTATATTGAGTTCTACTCCATGGTTTTAATGAAGTTCAGTTTGAGGCTAGTTTTTGTGCACAAATTATCACAGCCCAACCAGCTGACAATTAATTTCCAACGATAATACCTGTCTCTGACTTTATATTAGGTTGTTTCAAAAGTTTTGTCATGTGTTTTTGTAGCTCCATATTTTTCAATACATTTTAATTCTATTGTATCGTGGTATACACTAATCGATGGATAATTTTGTAATTTATACACTGATGCTGTAAATTTATTTTCATTTTAATTTTTTGCCTCCTTTCAGCTTATTACTATACAATGTCGTTTAGCGATTTTCGGCTAGTTTTCTCTACGAAATAAAATTGAACCAAAGTGCTACCGAAATAGTTAAAAAATTTAACCAGCACTTGGCAATGATGGTGCTAATGAACGCAACGTTGGACGTTGGTTCGCGAAATTTCGTTCTGTAGATTTTAGCCTCAAAGATGAGTCCCGAAGTGGTCGACCTACAGTAATCTAGGATGAGGATTTGAGGATTCTGGTGGAGACTGACCCATCTCAAGATGGCTCCAATGCGATTTTTGATGGTTTAAATGTATTGGAAAGTTTAAAATCTTCCAATGATTGATTGACAGAAATTGCCACGTTTTGAGGTCTATTCTTCTTTGCTTTTGCGCAACCAAAACGATCCTTTTTTGGATTTGATCTTCACGTGTGATGAAAAGTGGATCCTCTACGACAACAGGAGTCATTCAGGACAAAAGTTGGATACCGATTAGTCACCCAAGCACTTAACAAAGGCGAAAACTCACCAAAAATAGACCATGGTTATTGTATGGTGGTCAGCGGCTGGTGTGATTCACTATAACTTCTTGAAACAGAGCCAAACCATCAGAGCAGAGTCCAATTGTGAAGAAATCCACAAAATGTACCACAAACATTGCGTCACCAGCAGCCGGAACTGATAAACAGAAGATGTCCGATCCTGTTCCACGACAACACCCGTCCGCACGTCCAAGTGACGAAATTCAGCATCAACAAATTACCCAGACCTCCTCTCCTCAACCGACTACCACCTTTTCAAACACTTCAATAACTTTCTCACCGCTAGAACCTTCGCCAATCAGGACCTGGCAAAAACGGCCTTCGTCGACTTCATCGAATTACTAGTGTCGCATATGCCCCGTCCTTAGAGCGGCGCCTTAAGAATTTTTCTGTAGTGCTTGAGTTTTGTTTTCGTTAAAAAAATCGCGGGCACCCAATTTTTATGCTGTCAAAATTATTGACTTGTGTCATGATGGCAAAAGTGCACTGATTCGAATAGCGCTTTGATTAAATTAAATAAGTATTCACTGAGGTATCACAGTTTGAAGTAGACTCATAAAAACAGACAAAAATTTTAAAACAACCTAATATATGCAATGAAAAATAATAAAACTGGATGTATACTTAATTATCCTTGTAAAATATATTTTTCAACTATTATTATTTGGATAATCACTGCAGTACAAAGTATTTTTACTGTACTGTAGAAGAGATTTCATATAAGTTGAATAACACGAGGGTTGCCTTTTATGTTCAAGGATTTGGCAACCCTAGTGTTGCAATCTGGCAACTGACAGCTCTATCGTAAAGTTGGACATTTTTGAGCTTATACGTTTTGACATACGCGCGCTATTTGTGTTGTTTACAGTAACTTAAAAGATTCATCTCGGCCCAAAAATGGAATTAAATCGTGAACATTTTTGTTCGACTATTTTTCACAACTTTCGATGAAGCTCCATCAAGGACCAGTGTTTATCGATGGTATGGTGAATTAAATGTGGTCGTAGATCACTCCAAGACGAATTTCGTGAAGGTCGTCCAAAATCAGTTGTTGTTTCGAAAACCATTGATGCTGTGTGCGAACTGATATTGCAAGATCGTCGTGACCTCCAACAAAAGTTTTTTGCGCATGAAGCACTTCCAAGCAAATGGTCGCCTGTTTTTTTGAAAAAACTGGACATGTCGCAACTGTACCACTAGAACAACACAGAACAGTTAATTCTGAGTAGTACACAATCAATTGTTTGCCAGTTGTCTTCCAAGAAATCAGGAAAACCAACCGTTGAAGACGGATCACTCTTCACCACGACAATGCGAGCTCTCACACATCGGCTCAAACAACTGCATTTTTGAGCACCGAAAACATCGATTTGATGAGTCATCTGCCGTATAGTCCTGACTTACCACCGAATGACTTCTTTTTATTCCCGCAAGTAAAAAGCAAACTGAGAGGTCAACGTTTTTCGACAGCTGAAGAAGAGGTTGCATGTTTTGGAGATACCTCAATCAGAGTGGCAAAAGTGCTTCGACAATTGGTTCAAACGCATGCAAAAGTGTATAGATCTTCATGGGGAATATTTTGAAAAACAAAGTGATTTTCGACGATTAAGATTTGTTTTTGTTCTCTAATCCCGAAATATAAAAGGCAACCCTTGTATTCCAATGAACAATCAGTACAACTTCAAAATAACTTTGTTTGGAAAGACCGACATTCAAAAGACGAAATTTGTTTAAACATTTGTAGTATCAACTATTTTTTTACTTGTATGATAAACTCATACTAAACATTTCCGGCTCTTTATAAAAAAAAAGAAAAACCAGTTAATGAGAGACAACCTTACCATTAAATTTATTTTTTCCACACGCTCCTCATGAGACAAATGACAATACATCTGCCTTCCTGTCTCTTTTGCTGAATCCATTAAAACTTCATCAGGAGGGCATTGCATCACCTGTTCCAAGAGTCTACTAACGTGATCAGAGGCTTCGCTAGGATTTTTTTGAACCTCTTCTAAAACTTCAGGACACATTGTGAACGGATTAATAGAAACCAGCGATTGCTTTCTACTAGGAGTTCTTTGCGGAGAGGGTGGCAAACTTCTGGAGGTACTTCCAATGAGCTGGGATCCTAAAACAAAATTTTGTGAAAAAAAAGCTTCTACAGGCTATTTACATGAAAGTATGATTGTAATTCCTAACCTGGTATAGCCAAATTGTTAACACTGTTAACTCTTTTCAGGCCATTTCCAAGATTTTTTGCATCAGTTATATCTTCTGCCACTTCTGTCATAGTGATTTCTGGTTGAAGAATGACATCTGATACCAAAACATCGGTTTTCATATTTGGATTGCAACCGGTGCTCATCTGACATTTGACAATGCATTTTTTGTGGCAACACAAACCACACTGTCTGCACTGAACAGCATCTTTCAACCAAATCTGAAGGGCATAACAAAATATACTGAATGAGTTGGCAAGTAAATAACCAAAAAATTTGTAATAACAGGAATCTGATTATCTGTAAAATTATTTTTTATAAAGAAAATGGAAAGGTGTGGTTGTTTGTTTATCAAAAAATCTAATAATTATGAGGAACAGTTTTTTAATAATTTCAATATTTAGCCTGAGTATATAACCCGGTTATATACTCATTTCTTACCATTGAAACCGCTGATAACTATCACTAGATGGTATGCAAAATGCTAATGTATAGTCGAAGTAAACGATATTGTGAACATTCAAAGTTGGCGGCACTCTCAAAGGCCAAAAAAAACAATACATAGAAATGAACCAGCAGCGACTTAGTCCACGTGGACTGTAGACTTGGCGGTTTGTATTGGATAATTTTTACTAACAGAGTTTTATGATTGGCTGAATAGTCATAAAATTAAATGAAACTTCAAATCATACCTTCTTAGAACAGAAATCACAGTGGGTAGTGCGATGAAACTGAGTCCGAATGAAGTCATGCTGAATAGAGCCCGTGGAATTTATTGGTTTGTTATCATTTTCTATAGTGACTTCAGACATTTTCTTCTTCAACTCAATATCTTCATCATGAGTCCACACAAAGGCTAGTAGTATATCACCATAACAAAATACATGTTCGAATCCTGAGTGAAGTAATAAAGGATGAGTTTGATTATTTGGTATAATGTTGTTCGGTGGCAAAAAAGAGTAACAACGCATATAGTGTCCTAGGAAACTGTTACAGCATTCACTCAAAACGTGACTTATTGGAATATTTGTATAACCTAAAAGTAAATCCCTGTCATCACTGACAGTTGCCCAAACATTTATGTTGAGGTACTTTAAAGTTTCTTTTAAAGGGAACTGAAAGTCTTCATTGAACTGAAGAACTGTTCCTGTTGGTACCTCTTTACTTTTATGTACCTGAAATTTAACAAAATCAACAAATTGTTTCAGCAATTATTGGGGGACTTTTCATCAAATGATGGCAACGGATAAAATCAACAAAGTGTAAGTTACTTCTACAATAAATTTACCTCCACATGACTTGATGCTTCTGAACTAGAACTTTCAGTATCAGTCCTAACAATCTCCGCTAATTCGCAGAGAGAATTTTTCTTTGCTGATGCAGGCATTTGCACCGAGTGTTGTTTCAAAATGGAGTGTTGCGGAGTACTAGGATTACTGGATGTAGGAGTATTCTTAGCACTACTCGGTTCTGACAAAGACGTTTTACGTTTCCTTAGGCTGAAATTTCCAATTGTTTGTGCAATTTTAGCCATATTTTCGTTTGAAGGCATTATTTTTGGAACCCTTTTCCTTGTATCCTTAACATTTTCAACCAGAACAAAATTATCTTGTTCATTCTGCGTCAAATCAGTCTCTTCTACAGCCTCTGGGGTTGGGCAGGTAATTTTTATCTCAGTCTCATCGTTATATTTTGATTTAAGAATATAATTTTCAGCTACTCGTTCGATCTTCAATGTTATGTTTGCCGAGGATATTGATTTTATAAACTTTGCCACCTGAGGTACTGTCTGAACAGTACGATTTTCGACAGCTAATACAATGTCATTTGGTCTTAAACCGGACTTGAATGCAATACTATGAGGTGATACACTGTCTACTAGAACTAATCCTTGTTCTTGTTTAAATATCACTCCTAACTGTGCTTGTCGGACTTTGGTCATGGTTATTTCTAGAGTCATGTACAAGGTGTCATCTCTATTATATAGTGAAATCCAAGGAATGACATCTGAAAATTATAGATTGTTAGCATCAAAAACATCAATAAGTGATTTTGACTTGAAATGAATTGAAAATATCAATAAATAAAATAGGTGAAACACAAAAACTGCACTATTCGCACTATGTTAGGAATTTGTTTAGTTCAGATACCGCTGACTCAAACTTGGTTGGTGAAACGCGCGTCCAGAAGAGGCTTGCAGTTCTGGTGTTTGGGAGTAATGCTTGTTTTGGATAGAAAAGATTTAACGCATTTTAGAGTTCTGGTCAGTACATTATATAACTGATTTTCAATTACATTCACCCTAACAATATTGAAGTGGATCTGGTTAATTTAATCATGAACAATATTTTGTTCAGAGTGAAGTAAAACATCAGGGCGATTCATATATCAGTGGTTGATTTATATCAACGGTCTTCAAGACAAGTTACAATGTCAGTAATGTTATTTATATTATCGTTTCTCAGAATTATTAACGTCATTTTGTTTGAGTCAGTTTTAGCAATGTTGCAATGACACGGCGGTGGTTGGCATCTTCAGGAGTGCAGACTGATTTTCATTCTTTCCGGAATAGAAATTATAAAAACATTACCAGAAAGAACTGTTATTATTTAGTTTTGAAAGTGAATGGTTACACAACCAAAGGATATTCTGTAAGAGATTCATTAAACAATGAGATAAGAACAGATAATACAAGGGCATAAGGTAAACTGCAGGCTAGGACATATGTTATTTCATAAACTACACCTTACGATTTGATCTCCACAAACTTTATTTGAAAAACATATCACGACATGTTTCGCTAACACAGTAGCTTCTTCAACAGTGATTTGAATACTACTGTGTTAGCGACTTGTTGTATTCAAATCGCTGTTGGAGAAGCTATTGTGTTAGCGAAATATGTCGTGATATATTTCTGAAATAAATATAGTTTAAAAAAACTAAAAAACAGGCTTTTAAAGAACATTTTTAATAAATAAGCGTAACGAATCTGAAGCCGCCCTGACCGATATCTCAGCCAGCAAACATATGACTCATCGCGAACCACCGCAAAAGGTATAGAAGAGTACCGAAACCTCTAGAGAGATCTGGAGCGTCCGTTGACGATATAAAAAGGCCGCTTTCCGTCCCGAGAGTCAGTCGGTCTGTATCTAGAAAGTGAATCGTGTGTTTCAATAAAGAATTCGAACTGTGAAGATAAATTAAGCGTTAGTTGTATAAGTGATAAATTAGTTGTGATAGTGAAATATTGTTAAAAATAAATTTGTTTAAGACAGACAATTCTTTAATTCATTACATAAGCTTAAAACAATAATGAACAAAAAATATTAGTATTATTGTGAAAAAAGCGTGGGCGCTTTGTGCCATATTTTTTGTATATCAAGCGCTCGTCGCTTAACGAACGAAAAATACTAGTATTATTGTGAAAAAAGCGACGAGTGCTTGGTATACAAAAAATAGGCACAAAGCGCCCACGCTTTTTTCGCAATAATACTAATATTTTTCGTTCGTTACTGTTTTAAGCTTATTTGAAAAAATTTTTTTCAACTTTTTAGTTCGATGTTCTTTAAAAGCGTGTTTTTTAGTCTTTTTAAATAACATATATTTTATTTAAACTTTGGGATCAATCAGCCGTATATTGTTTAGAAAAATGACCATTGATATTTTCGATTACGTACTGCGCCATCTGCCCGCGAATAGATCAAGCAATAATGTCGATATATCAAGATTACGTACAGCGCCATCTGCCCGCGAATAAATCAAGCAATAATGTCGATAATTGTATCAAATACAGATCCGAGCTTGAGAGTTACAAGCAAACTGACAAACAAACAAACATACATACAGGTGAAGCTAATATAAAGCGTGTATTAATAAAGTTTGTGGAGATCAATCGTAAGGTGCAGTTTATGAAATTATTATGGATCTTCATCAAGTAACGGCCGAATCAATCAGAAAAATAGAACATGTAAAAGTCAGCAGTGACAAACCATGCCAGGTTATACAGGGAAGTCATCAAAATAAATATAAATACAGGAACAACTTCGGTAGGTCAGAGAAAACTTGAGAAGTCAATAAAGCCTAGCTTTCTGTCTAGTGAGACTCTGGCCTGTAACTACCTGAAAGCAACTATATGCGATCACAAGAATGTAAATAATCTTATACAACCCCATTCCTTGTACTCCTGAATACACCACCCACCCTTTTCGGAAAAATATTGAGGAACACTAAAATGAATGTAAGTCAACAACCTCAGAAATGAAAAATACGACGAAACCTGACAGTGAAATATTTATGTTTTGAAGCTATTGATAACTTTTATAATAACATGTCGATGAATTTGTTATAGAATGGAATAATTCATTCGTTATTCGAAATTTTTAACAAGTATACAGATTTTTGCCGATGATACCACCATTTCTTGACATGGATCTGACAAAAATATCAGTCATGACATTAAACTGATACTGAGTTGTTTAAAAAATAGTTCGACATAAATCAATCGGTGCTTAGTATCAAAAAACTATTGTACTGACTTTTAATTGTAATTCTGTCTTTTCAGTACCATTGGGTGATGGAGGAATAAAAAGCACAGTACAATCAAAATTACTGGTACTGAATATATATGAAGGTCTGAAATTCGACAATCATTTAGTATAGCAGGCAAATATCTATCTTCTGGAAGCTGTGCTGAGAGGAAGATTGCCACGGAGGTGGGATATGATATAAGGCTGATATATCTGTCTATGCACTCACTGAGTCCCATTTACGATAAGGAATTGCATTTTGGGGAGTATGCTCTAAACAGCTCAATCAAGCTGTTTCAGTTATAAAAAAAGAGACCCTCTGCAGCTTGAACTCAAGAAATTTGAGTTAACCATCTTCAAAAGCAATGGAGTATTGACAGTTGATGACAGTATTCGAGAAAGATTTAACAATGCCCCTTACGTATACAGTATTATATCTCGTCAAAATCTGAAACTGCCATTAGCAACCAACAGAATGATTGATAATAATATTATATATGATGAATTGAAAATGTATAACCACCTGTCGTCGATTATGGAATTAATTGATTTCAAGTTTTTCTGAAAAAAACCCTTAAAAAAGTCTTTTTTACCAACCCAATATAAAACACTCAAGAGTTATTCAATTTATTTACCTAGTGCTACCTGATCACATTACGCTTGGCAGAACACCGGGCGGTTCGAAATGGGTGCTTTGTTCACTCAGTCAATCAGCCGATGTGTGAGTCGATGATTCAAGCCCCAAGCTGAATGCTCGATTTTCACTTGCTATCGTCCAACCCGTGTTAGGGATCACACGAGCTAAGGACCTCGTTAGTCCTTAGCTCGCACAAGTTTCGACTTCTGAGGGCTGTCGTTCGTAGGAGTGCGATAGCGGGTTAACGGAAAAAAAATATTTCAAACATATTTTAAACTAAGCTCGGTTAGAAATGAATTAAAGTTGTTAAAGATGCTGCAACTGTTACGGGATGATTAACATATTCATATAGTTTCACTCAATTTTACTTCACCCTATACCCTCAAAGCGACTTCAATAGAGTAGTGTCATCTGACATTGGTAGTGAGAGTCTGGCTTCTACACAAGAAAAAACCCAACTGCTTTCCTTACCGACCTCGTTGCTTCAAAAACCCGTAAGTTCAAATATATTACTTTCACTACTCTATTGGTGGATCTAAAGAAATGTCGCATTCACCAAAACTCTGACAATACAGCTGCGATCAATTTAACGTAACTTAATAGTTACAACCGGAAAATCTGACGTGAAATGAATCTATTGAAAACACTTTTTCCACACCAGTACAAAATACTGTCTCTTGACACACGTCTGATGTCGCTAACTTGGTTGGTGAAAAGTGTGATGAAAGATTGGATTTTGTTTTAGTGTGGAAGTTTTGAATATACTCAGGGCAAGTCGTCTTTGAGATTATTTAGTTACATAACAGTGAAATTTACTGCAATTCCATTCCGTTATAATAACTGTCAACAAGTTTGTTTTGGAATACTTGAATATTTGAACATTAGGTTCTCTATCTAATCAATGTGCTCATTAATTAATATCTAAGTAGAGCCCCTATACAACAAATTCATAAAAATTGCTTGATGGCCAATGAATTTGAATGACCTACATTCATTAAATTGGAGAGAATTTGAATTTACATTTCAAATTATTTTACAAGACCTCTTGAAACATTTTTGATAGAGTCAGTTAATCAATATCAATAATTTACTCACCTACAGCTACTGTACAATAAATACTTTGGACATTGGGAAGCAGAGAGAGGCGTGATATCTCAACACAAGTTACTTCTAGTTGTCCTTGTGGAACAATTTCGTTATCTTCTAGGTCTAACTGACTAGGGTCAGTTTTTACAAAGAAAGGTTTATATCTGTAATTGACAAGGTTTCAGATATCGTGTGAAATTAATGAAGATAATTGGGACAAAACTGTTTGTCTTGCTACCTCTCCATCATTATACAAAAAACATGAGAAAATTTCAACAAAAGGAAGAAAGTATATTTCTTGGCAATCCTGTGAATGAAATCTGTTCAAATTCCATTATGCAAGATTGAATTACTGACTGAATAAGAAAAGTGATTTTCGTGTAATTTGATGTTCATATTCTTAAAATAGTTGTTTTGATTGAATTTTTTTTCCATTTTGTGCATGATCTACACATCTTTGTGAAGGGATTTTCTTGAAGGTAATTACCCTCTTGCTTTATTCGGAAGTTTCAAATATTTTTTCAGAATGATGGAGAAGTAGGAATCCAAAAATTTTTTGTTTTGACAAAAAACTAATTCCTCCTGAAAAAAAGACTTTTTCCTTTGAATGAATGTTAGTTGTCAAATACAGTAGAATCCGGATATAACGACCTTCAAGGGACCGGATATACTATGTCTTACAAACCAGACGATGCACAAAACGGCAAAATTATTTCTAAAGTACATACATACTCAACTTACAAATACCTGAATATTATAAATGCAAAAGCTCGATTTTCTTATTTAGGTAAATAAAATATTTTATAGGAATCACATATGCTTTATTTCAATGGTTCTTAAATATTCCAAATTACAAACATAGGTACCTACATAATGTACTCTAATACAAAAAGATAAATTACACACGTACTGTACGAAAAAAACTGCATTTGAGTTTGTTTTTGACAAACTTTTGTTCGCTAGTAACAACTTTGTACAGCATTGTGAATTCGTGACATTGTTTTCATAAGATCATCATTAAAGTTAGTGAACAAACACATTGTGCATTTCCGCAGCCTTCAGAGTTTCAGACACACTCAAGATTGGATAAATCTCCTCTGGTTCGTCATTTTCACCGTCGCTAATGTAACGAATCTGAAGCCGCCCCTGACCGATACGCCAGCCGACTTATCGAACAAACACAAGACATCACCGCGAAAGAATGCAGTCTGGAACCGCCGGTAAAATTCTAGTCGAGTACCGAACCGTCTACAGAATTCTCGAAAGGACCTTTACCGATATAAGCCCGTCTTCCCGACGGTGACATTTTCCACAATGTTTTGATCAGACGATTTTTCACAAGTGGCGAGACAGCATTACTGACACATGCATATTGTTCAAAGTGCTCGATTGTTATGGGTAACTGATGCCTATCAATAGCCCTCGCTCAGTGTCTTCTTCATTAAAATCATCTGCGTTTGAAGTTACGCCACATTCTACAATGCTTCGCACAAAACCAGCGTGTTTGTAACAGGTTAAAATTGTCCTTTGCTTGAGTTGGTTCCAGGCTTCTTGAATCATTAGAATAGCATTAAGAACAGTGATCTTTGGATACTTGACATTAATACTTCCTCAGCCGTCAAGAAACTGGATCATTTTCAGGACAAAGTTTTTACGAAAATTTACTTTCAAAATCGAATAATCCCTTGATTAATGGGTTGCAACACTGATGTCGTGTTTGGAGGCAGAAACACCAGGGTTTGATAGTTTTCCTCCTGTACATTTTTCACCTTTGAATTTCAACGTCTTGTCCGGGGTTAATTTATAAAACAGCCTGGTCTCATTAAAAATGTCTTCATCTCTAAATTGCGCAAGTAAAATAGGCCAAATTTTTTCTAAACAATCGATTACATCACTCTCTGTTGAACTGACAAAAACTCGCCAGCAATCTAACCACTGACGATGTTGTGTATTACTTTAAAACGGTTCATCCAACTCATGGAACTATGAAATTATGCGTGTTTAACTGTCTAGCACAAAAATTTGCCTTCTCTTGTAGTTAAGGCCCATTAACGGGTATTCCCCGGTCGCTTTGAAGATTAACCCACTGTAAAAATGCCTTATCCAACTGCTCACCAGTAGAAGTCTTTGCATTTCAAAACGTTGGCATTAAACAGCGGCTCTATCTTATCTTTATTCTTCTTAATTGTGGATATTGTAGAATGAGATACGCCAAACTCTTTTGAGAGGGCTGCATTTGATTCACCGGCTTCTATTCGGTGTAATATTGCACTTATTTCTTCAATTGTAAAACACTTCGCTTCACAGAACTCATTTTGTAGAGATTTGTCATAACTCTTTCATTTGGAGAACTGTGTTTATGTGAAATAAACTTTCTGAGAACGTTTTTCCAAATGAATTTAATCTTCAACAATTCAAATCCAATGTGAATCACTACTTTCGCACAGGCACCGATCTTAGAGCGTCTTAAGGATTTTCCTGTAGTTCTTGTATTTTGACAAACAGTAACTATGAATTACGCGCGTCAACAAAGAGGGGTGAAGCGTGTGGTGAAGTTGGGGACGCGCCGAGGTATTGGTGCATTTCATCAGTTTGGACTTCCCTTGTCTAATATGATATAAATTGATTTGAAATCCCTGAAAGAATCTGTAAAAAATTTAAAAGATTAGCTGAAAAAACAATTTTATTAAGCAAAAAAAACTGAAATTGCAATGAAATAACATACAAGCAACAACCAAAAAAATTGAACTATCAAAACGAGCTGAAAAATCAAAAAATCATTAACAAGAAATGAAAATTGAAAATATAAAATTGAAAGATTCCAAACCAAGTTACTTCACGACGTTTCGATTGTTAGTATCCACAATCTTCCACAGTCTTCGGGTGATAACTGCACTTATTCCTTCGAGATCTGACTATTTATAGGCTAGATGGACTGCATACAGACTTGTGCACATTTCCAATTGCACAAATCAATCTAATACAGAGTGCAACAGACAGTTGGTTGACACTGGAAGTCACAGCATTCTGGAAATGACCTCTGACTTTATGCCCACAACTGTCTACCAATAACTGCCTTATAAAGTACTATTCCCGAGTAGAGAGGACTGGATCCTCCGGGAGAAGGAAAAATTAAGAGCCGATAGTTGTTGGCTCACAGATGGATCAAATACATCTTCCGGTTCTTGCGAAGGTGTTTTTAGTCGCAGACCCAGGACAGAGATATCTACCTGCCTAGGAACTTATGCGACTGTATTTCAAGCGGAAATTTACGCTATTCAATTGTGTGCGGAGAGATTGGATAAATCCAATCTCATAAACAAGTCAATAAAAATATTCTCGGACAGTCAAGCAGCACTGAAAGCTCTTGGCTCCTACCAAGCAACGTCTAAATTGGTAGCAAATTGCCAAAAACGACTCTCCTCGATAGGAAGATTCAACAGATTGCCTCTGGTCTGGATTCCTGCCCATACTGGCCTGGAAGGCAATGAAGCTACTGACTCCCTTGCAAAGGAGGGTGCTGCAAGCAGCTTCATCGGACCAGGACCTGTCGTCGGCATCGCTTTAGGCTTTGCCAAACAAAGATTGAACACCTGGATGGCAAGAAGATTTATGGACTTCTGGCAGAATCTTCCAGGATTGAATTGGCGTTTATTCAACGTGAGACTGCTACGGATAGTGTTCCGAGATCTGAAGCAGGTTCTGATGTTATACTTGGACCCAATCCTTCTTATCCTTTCCGACAATCCTCTGACGTAGGAAAGTACAAGTACTGGTTGTGGCAGTTTCTCTTCCTTGTGGAGTTCTTGCTGTCCTCTAGCTAAAGCCTGTTCCACCATCACTTTAGAGTAAATATTCCGTTGAAGGTTATTTTTGATGATGCCTAGTTCCTTTTAGTTGTTGCATGTGTGTTATTTCATTGTAATTTCAGTTGTTTGCTTAATGAAATTGTTTTTCAGTTAATCTTTTTAATTTTTTGCAGATTCTTTCAGGGATTTCAAATCAATTTATATCATAGACAATGGAAGTCCGAACTGATGAAATGCACCACGAAACATTGTCAACCACTTTCATATAAACGAGGTATTTTTCTGATTGATTCGGCCGTAAATTGATGAAGATCCATAGTAATTTCAAAAACTACTCCTCACGATTTGATCTCCACAAACTTTATTTGAAAAATATATCACAACATGTTTCGCTAAGACATTAGCTTTGTCAAGTGATTTTTCAATTTTCAAGTGAGTATAAATCACTTGAAAAAGCTAATGTCTTAGCGAAACATGTGATATATTTTTCAAATAAAGTTTGTGGAGATCAAATCGTGAGGAGTAGTTTTTGAAAAAACGAGGTATTGGTGCTTAGGTTTAGTAAACAAAAAATTGCGCGACGTTTTAACTGGACAAAAAAGCGAATAGTCGTTAAAAGCGAAGTCGTTATATATGAATTCTACTGGTTATGAATTTGACATTTGTAAAAATAGTGAATTTGAACATCAGTGGAGAAAATCAGTGTTTTTCGTTAACCGTTTTGAGTATAATATTCTTTGACAACTACCAAGGACGTTTGAAAATAAAACGAACTAATGAGAGAAAATTGTGAAATATATTTTATTTTTCCAATTCAGAATTATTCTGAAGATGGATATATTTTGGCCTTTCGAAACGTTAGGTATCAAAAACATTTTTAGCTCTTCTCATATAGGCAAACTCTTCAAATATGACAAGTTACTGATAAACAGAGCAATTTTTTTGTGAAAAATATATTGATTTTACGCAGTAACTTAGTGGAGTGAACTAGAAACTTGCATTAAGTTCTCTATTACAATTTTAATTTCTTTAGATTATGGAAGGTGAAAATTCCCAAAAAGGTTAAAGAAAAACAGTAGTGAATTCATTATTTACCTTATTTTATAATTTGGTAAGGTGTGTTTCCTTTTAATTGCCTTTTTAATTTGATTTACAATGAGATTGGTGATATTAGATTGGAGTTGTCTTCCTTGAAAGTGGGATTCAACTGCTAGATCCAGAAGTGGGTCTGAATAAAAACTGAAAGACCAGTGTGTGTATGGTTGTCTCGAAAACTGCAATCTTGCCTGCCCACTTATCCTTTTAACTGCAAATTTCCTTTAATTACTTACAAAAATATACTTGTAGGACTGAACTGAAAATCGTTCAGAATATTGAACTTTTACTTTTGAAGATTTACAAGTTTTTTTGATACTATTATTTTGGACTATCAGAAAAACATTTTTTTGTTAAGTATTGCCACCGGTAGACATATAGACAGCTGTTTCAGCCTATTGGGCATCGTCAGTACCGGGCAGGCGGTCCTCTATTGAAGGCAAAATGTGAATAACCAAGAAAAGTACTCAATAAAAATAGCTGTGTAAACGCGAGCGAGACATAAGTGGAACCACCTATTGATGTGACATCCAAGTTAACTTGAAAAGTTTTTATGATCTATAGATCTATGATCTATAGAAACAGAACAATATTCAAGTTAAATTTATCGGTGAATCATTGACAAAACGAATGAATGCAATGAATTGAATGAGGTCTTTTACTATTATAAAATTTCTTTTCCTTTTCTATTTTACCAAAACAAGAGGATGATGTGGATTAATTAGGTACCTATAATAACAAAAGCTTTCCATTATCACTGGCACTGCATTCGAATGTAGATACATTTTGTACAATATCAAGAGTATTACTAAACATACATTTACCATACAATGGTGTAGGATACAAACCTTTTATTGATAGGTAGGCTGTTTTTCCAAACTTCATTCTACCATCTATACTCAACATAAAATTTCCAGTGTAATCTACATTCAACGATAAACTAACTGTTTCTATATAGCCTTCTTTCTTATCCAACTTGACACTGTCTACAGTGATATCTTTAATATCTGGAAACTCTGTTCCCAAGTGCATATCTTTAATCTAAAACACCAAAGATTGAAATCATCTACCGATCCCTGTGAATTATTTTTTATTTCAAAAATATAATAACAGAACATTCAAAATTCAAAAATATATATTTTACATGACAGATCACCATGAACTTTCAATATGAGTTGCAAGAGGGATAGTCTTGCCAACTGTGGATATGAGGTGATGAACCCAGTTTGCAGATCAGAAATTTTGTAAATCTACTCTAAACATTTTCTAATTTTTGGACATTACAACTGTGGGGAACATTCTAGCTTCAGCATGTTGTTATTGCAACTGAAATATTATTCTACAGGCAAGCATTAGGTTTTCATAATATATGATAGTTTTCATGTACCTAAAACAGGAATTGAATGTAAAAATTTTGAAAATTTTTGAGCAAGAAAGCTATTATACCAGGTGACATCGAAATATGTACACGTCGCCATTTAGTTGACAAAAATTTGAAATTCAGAGTAAAGGTATTGTTCAACAAAAACTACATTTTTAATTTGTGATATACTGTTTGGAACCTTTGGTGTAGTAATGAATATTACTGGAGTTTTCTC